ATCTACAACATAATGAAAAGAATAAATTAAGATTCTGAAAGTTAATTCCTAAATATCATAGTAAGGAAATCCGTAAAACTATCAAAAAAGTAAACATAAACACCTTGAGAAAACTTCTTCCGTATCATGTGGTTAAAGTGGAGTTTAAAAACAATTTTTGTAGAAAATAAGGCCGTTAGTTTACAAGCAGGTATGTAACTGAGCGATAATGTGTGGGTATGTTGCTTATAAAAAATGCTGTATTTAGATATCATTGCTATTCAAATTGAACTTTTGTCTTATTGTTACTATTTATTGCAGGAGAACAGTTGAACCAGGTCCTGGTGCATACTTATGTAGTTGTCATTTTGTGGATAGGAAAAAACAAAATTGACCTACATTGTTTAGGGGAGAAGCAATTGAACTTTCCATCGCCAGAAAGAAGAACCCGTAAAAAGACCATTGATAAACCTTTTAATATCTCAACAATGTGAAAATTGAACTCTATAATATGTTACTTCAAATTGGGCCCTTTTAAGGGATGTATGTAATAATTATGTGATCTGCAGAAATAAAAATAGTTTCCCAGTAAGGAGCATACTGTTGATTATAATTTTTGTCATTAGCTTTTTTTAGATACAACACATGGCATCATAAATTATTTTAATGTAGAGTTCAGTACTCCAGCTATAACAGGGTAGTCCCTCGATCTTTTCAAAGCTATTCAACAAATATGTACTTCTATGAGGTTGAATTGAAAAAAAATTGAGAAAGCAATCTTGTATTTGCGTTTCGTATAGGTAACTTTCACTCCCCTGGCAGGCTTAATCTAAGCGATATCACAAATATGTCTATACCAAGTTACGATTATACTGTGCAAGAGTATTTATCTTACAAATTTTGACAAGTAATGGTGTCTGTTGTTTTGACAAGTCCTTAAAGCAGCTACATTCTAAATCGAAGTACATACATTCTGCATTGAGATCAAAATAAACAACTGCAGTGGCTGTGAAAGTCTTAGTAATTTTGAAAACTTTGGTAGTAGATATGATTATCAATGCTATTTTTCAGCGCTTTGCATATTCCTTCATCTGCTTGATAATATGTGCCAATCGAAGGGATAGATCCTCCTATGTAATAGAGAATTCTATAATAATGTAGCACTGTTAGCCAGCTAATAGGTCTACATATTTAGATAAATTGAACTGAGGGTCAAGACTGAACTCTTACTGAACTTCATAGAAGTAGTCACAAACTTGAAATAGTGCACTGACATAATCTCACACCTAACACAAATGCCTATGTAAAAGTGAGCTATGATTCCATTTGCATTCAAAACATGAAAGTAATCAACAATTTTCATCACTTGTACAGAAATTTGAATGGTTACATATTATTCTGAATGATTGTTTAGACAACAGAGAGCATCGCTCAAGTTTTAATTGCATTAATCAACAAGTAATAAATTCAAATGAAACGTGATTGAGACTACTTACGTTTGCCATAGAAATACATACACTGTAAACACTTCACAACACTTTCACTATGTGTAGTTGTGATTGCTTGTTCTAAGCTTCTAATTAATCCTTATTAACGGGAGCCTCATTATTAAGATTTCGATAATGTTTACATTCATACTTTGTAGGTTAGAAATAGGAGGTGATGCAATCAGACATATGCTTTATATCAATCGGTTGGAAAAGCGGAGCTTTATGACATATTGTAAAATTATAACATGAATAGGGGCTTACAATCATATTTTTATCGTATTTATAAACCGATGATGATTTCAATAAACTGATAAACGTCAAAGAATAATTGCAGCCTCTGGCGGTAAACATCGCAATCTGTAAACATAAAAAACTACTAGATTCATACGATTTTAATGGCTATAGTCCGGTCCGTTTAGACAATGGAATATAGAAATTTGAATCTTTTCGAAAATGTTGATTTTCACGCGTAAAAAAGGACAATGGTATTCGGCGTGATCCTATATTCGATGAAGCGACCGACATAAAGCCGAAAATAGCACGTTTCGGACGTTCCGCTCGCACGCGCTCACTTTCGTAATACGATCATATCTACAATACCCCGCCTAACAGGAATCCGGGGATCTGGAGCGGAAATTCAAAATTGAAACGTCAAACTAAAAATGTGTACATATCTTTGAATTTTGTAATCAGCCGTGTTTAAAAAATGCGATCGGGTAACGTGTCGTATGTCGGTTTAATCAGGAGACTTTGGTCTTTTCGTTTTGCGAAAAAAAAATCGTAGCCATGTCGCTCCGTAACGCAGGTCCGTATCGACGAAGACAAAGTACGCCGAAAAAAACGGTTGTCATCGGTACTTTTGAGGCGCTCAAAGTTTACTTTTTCGAAATTTGACGGTAATTCTGACGGTCAGAATCGTTTCGTCAGCTCATTATCGTTATTTTTCGATAGCTGTATAATTTTTACTCGCTCACGTACGGTAGTAATAGGCGAAGACAGAGCCGGATGACAAATAACTTTTCCACGCATCGAAATGTAGCGTGTTGTCGGGCAATTTTTGAAAAATCGAAACTTTCGAACGACAAGGGATAAAGGAAAAACAAAGACGCTATCTTTGTGTCCGATGTCCGGGCTTTCTCACGCAAAAATCGTCAGGTTCGTAGCTCCTTTATCTTCGGAGGAGATGTCTGATCGACGGCGAAGCAGCGTGCTTTATACGCAAAAGTCATTCTTGACGACGTTCGAGGTTCGTTTATTCGAAACGGGTACCGTAAACGAAAAACTCTCTCCGCGTAATTTGGTAGCGCTCGCCGAGATGTACGAAACGCGGCGCGCGAAATTCCTTTTCTCTTCGGCATAAGGGAGATATCGTAGTTTTCCGGGCGATTCGTCATTTTTGTCGCTTTTTTTTCGAACATTCCTAGAAAAAAAACCAGAGACGCGGAACCGAACGGATTCAGCTGATAGGCACGTATTTCTCGTTTAGCTATCGAACGAGACCGATCTCGAGTCGATATTTCGATAAACGGCGAAACGAGTGTGAAATAACGCCGCGTACCGCCCGACAAACGGTCGATTTTTCGACTTTACCGGCCGTTTTCGATCCGATCCGTTCCTCTCACCGCGACGGTTCCCGCTCCCCGGTAAAAGCGTCGAGTTTCTTACTTTCCGAAAGGTACCTCTTTCCTTGCGAACGTTTCGCGAAACCGGGAAAAAAAACCGGAAAAAACCGCGTCGACGTCGCACGGCCTGAATCTCTAGCGTCACGTGGCCTTCTACGAAAAACAATCGACACCCGCTTAATATAGTCTCGACTAGCGCGGTTTGCTGGCATGCTAACGCTATGCAAAATGTTGTATGTTGATGTCTTTATTTAAAACCTCACGTAGCGCAGTTGCTGGTATGCTAATGCAATGTTAATGATATACTTTAATCCCTATCTTAGATCATTATCTATCCTTTATCACCTTTGATCTGTTTATCTGTTATCTGGTACCTGGTATCTGACATCTGACATTATCTGTTGTGAGTTGTCAGTTAACATGGCGTTATAAAATCTTCCATATAGCATTAAAAATACCATCTATAAAATTTTATAACATACTCAGATTTATGTGCGGAGCCGGCAACGTCGCATCTGTCGTTAATAACACAGATGGCGTTATAAAATCTTGCATACAGTATTAATGTCCTCTATAAAATTGTATAATAAGCTCAGATTAACGTTGCTTATATATCTGGCAATCACGTGACGTGCCAAAAAAATAGCGCTTGACTGCCATAAATAGAGATGATATTAGCAGCGACTTGGAAGTCGCCGGGATATCGGTGACAGCGACCTTAAAGTCGCCGGTAGATTTAGCAGCGCTTTAGGTCACTGCTTATCTATGGTCGCTGCCAGCAGCCAGCGACTCCCTGGCGCTGATTACATTACTCGATATTTGGCGGCTGTTATCCATTGATATTAACGAGGTGTAGATGTTCAGGTTCCTGAAGATTTGAATTAAACTATATTTAAGGTTTTTGTTTTTAACAATATTGAGCACAAAACACATAAAATCATAAAAATACATAAAATATCTTTCTATGAATCTTAAAAAGGAAAACAAAATACTGTTTTACCAGTCAAAATAAAACTTTTAAAACATAACAAATGTAGTATAAAAATGCTTCTTTTATATGTTAAACATTGCTTAATAAACGAAACATTTTTCTATGAAACAGGAACTCACAACAATAACAATAAAAACTAACAAAATAGGTTAGGCTACGCCGTAGCGACCCTGTACTTCCCGCGCGATGATCGCGAACGTGATGTGTATATGCTTCCTGGCAGCGACCGCGACCGAAACAGCGTTACAGCTACCGATCAGTGGTTACCGATACTTCCAAACAGCGATCTGGGTCGCTGCTTCATGGAGAATCAGGTCGCCGGGACTAACGGCGACCATTGAAGTCACCGGGAAAGGTCGCCGGTACCGATATATCGATCATCTCTAGCCATAAATCAATCGTGTTCGCCTATGGACAGCACGGGACTGTTCCTTTTTCAGTGTAAATGTTTTTTGTTTTGTGATGTTAAGTCAATGTCATAGGTTTTTTCTAACCTAGAAAATACAACATAATGAAAAGAAAAATTATGTTTCTGAAAGTTAATTCCCAAATGTCATTATATGAAAAGTATTGGGATTAACAGGTTCACTGCCACGGCGGGCGCGGACGACCGCTCAATATGTATCCTATTCTGCCACGGCGGTCGTATACGACCGCTATCGTACGGTGCTACGTTTATATTCTCTGCGTGCCAGCGGTCGAACTCAGAATCAGTATAAGCGAGCAATTCGACCGCTATGGCATACGGGCCTAGGGTATTGATCCGAATTTATGTATATCTGTTTGATTTGATGAAAAAAGTTACCCAGATTTGTCATATGCATTTTTATTGTTCAAACTCAAATCACACTACAAAATGTAACAGACATAGGGCAAAAAAGCTTAGATTCACTTGTATAAACAAAATAACGGTTCATTTTACTTTGCATGAGTGGTATTGAAACAGTTCAGACAAAAATGTGGCTGATCGTCACACACTCCACAGAAAGTTACAACTTTCTTCACGCAGTTTTTAGTTATTTCTCCTCGCAATTTCTTGGCATAACACCCTTTACAGTACTTTCTCACTTTGTCAAATTGACCTTCTTTCCTGCACAATGTATGGATTTTGGCTGTCTTCTTGGTTATTTTTTCCTGACGTACATCAAGTTCCCCTGCATCGCCGTGATCCGTAAAAAGAGACCTAATTACTTCTTCTCTAAATTCTGGAATCTTCAATTTTTTGTTTGCTAGCAGATTATAAACTATGTGTGCATTTACAAGCGCTGTGCCCAAGAGGAACTCAATGGCAAGTTTTCGATACCACTTTAGAGACTTCCTTACAGGTGAATGGTAGCTTGCCATTTGGTCAGATTGGTCAATCGACGACTTGGCTTCATTGTATTCCATCACTGCTCGTGGCTTTTTGACAATACCAGTACGTCGTTGAACATCTACGGTTTCGGTGGTATGCTTAGTGGATAGAAGAAGGACATCTCTCTTGTCCTTCCACTTCAGCACACACACACCTCTGCCATTTTCTAGCCCAAAAATTTCGCCTTTCTTTAGTTTTTTCAGAATAACTTCTTTTGGATTGCCTCGCCGATTTGCTCTTAGTGTACCAATATAATGTGTCTTATGGTCGAAAAGTATATTCGCTAGCTCGAGACTGGTGTAGTAATTATCGGCAACAATAGTTCTACCTGTATCAAGTAAGTCTTGTGACAACTTAAGCACAATATTTGTTCCCACAGACGCATCTCTCTCTTGTTTTTCTTTGCCAGCATATTCTTATATTCCATGTGTATCCATTATCGCTACACAGTTTGAACAATTTCACGCCATATTTATGCGTCTTGTTTGGAATGTATTGTTTGAATAGGAGACGGCCTTGAAAAGGAACAACAGACTCGTCAATGCAAAATGTTCTACCAGGTGTATAAATTTCTTGAAATTTCTTCACCAACGCATCCAATAAAGGTTTGATTTTATGCAAACGATCACCCTCTGGACAGTCGTTATTATCAGAGAAGTGCCACATTCGTAAGAGCAGCTGGAATCTATTTCTTGACATAACTTTTGGAATAATAGATATCTGGAAAAGTTCGTCAGTACTCCAATACTTTTCTAATGATGGCATCCTAACCATGCCCATGTATGCTACAATGCCAATAAATTTTAGCATCTCACCTTTATCGGTTGGAACCCAACGATGTAACCTTGATTCTCTACTCACATCCTCAGCTTCGAACAAAACTTGGGTTGCATATAGATTGGTCTGATTTACCATTTCATTTATGATTTCATCATCGACAAAAAACGAAAGCAGCTGTATGGAGATAAATTGTTGATAAGAACTGCAGCATAACCTGCGTGTAAACCGCTTTCGGCAGAATAATCAAACACTTGGTGATTGCCCACAGGCTCTCTCCAAGTGTGTTCATTCTGGTCAGCAGCTTCTTCCTCATCTAACACGTTTTCAAGATTGTCTCCAGTTTCAGTCGATGAAACATTGAGATTCTGTGTCCCGTCTTCATTTTGTACCCCAGCTTCTTGAAATTCGGCCACTGGAAGTGATTTTGAACAGCACGGTTGATTCTCAAAATTGTATACTTGTTCTGGTCTTTCCCCTGTCGTTTTTGTAAATTTCTTTTTCTGTCCTATTATTTCCGTAAGAGATATGTCAGAGCTATCAGATAGTTCGTCATTACTAGATGGCAGAAACATAGGATCCAAATCGGAATCAACTGCACTGAAAGGATCCGAATCGCTTTCATCATCTGTAAATAAATGAACTGAACTTACTACGATTTACTAGCAAAAACCACTAAATTTGCAACAATATTGCGTAGAATGTAATTATATTCATATAAAATCTTACCTGTATGCTCCTCCATCTGAAGGGCCAATTCTACAATTTTTTTAGATCGGCTACTCATTTTTAGAGTTTGAAAACTAATGCACTCACTATGCTGCTTGTTGCGTTCAGCGTTCTATGCATCCTAACCCTAAATGAGTGTGCGCGCTTGCTAATCCCGACTGTAACATAACGTAGAGACGAGTTCAAACTCGCAAGAAACGACCGCTCATACGACCGCTCGGGCATGGAGGGCATATATATGCCGTCCATGCCCGAGCGGGCGTATAAGACCGCTAAACCATTTTGCAAAATTTTCATTGCATTTTGAAAAATTGGGAGGAATAAGTTACTAGCATGCTTACAGAATACTATCAGGCGTATTATTTTCAACTTGGCACCAGATGATTTTTAATTTTTTTCCTGGCAGTCAACCTGTTAAATCAAATCATTGTCATGCTATTTTTTCAAAAAACACTGGATAACATTATCCGTATCTACGTACATGGAGGATCTGAAAACAACTGTAATCATGTGATATTCACCACACCAAATATGTTCCATTCTTTTATAATTTCTTAGAACATCAATATTTCTTTGTGCTAATATGCTTTAGGTTGAAAACAAAGCTGTTGCGGATCCATGTTCATATGGAAATTTCGTTATCAAATTGACCAAGGATTCGATGGTTAAAGTATGTCTACATTATATATAACACCCATCATATGTGAACAATATAGATTTTAATAGTAGTTATATTAAAGCATTATTAACAGTTATTCAACATAAAAATTATATTGGTGCACATAGCGAAGGTTATGTAATATAAAAAAATTGCTGTTCTAACTTGTCCCCAAGTTATAACTGCAAAAAATGTAGAAAAGACCTCCATGCTTTACATATTCAGTTGGAAATATACAGAGTATATAATATTTTTAATATCAAATTTCGTAATATGAGGGGTATCTTTGTTGATAACACTGGTCTTTTTCATATAACACATTAGAAAGGTATGACTTCTTTTGAAAGATTCAGCATGGAATTTGCCTTACTTTTCTAGCACAAAATTATCAATGGGCACATTGATTGCCCCCAACCATTAAGAATCACCCTGTAGTTCTCTGATTTTTCAGAAAGCTATGTTATAAAGATGTACCCTTATCGATGAGAAAAAGATTTCATACACTGCTCAAAGTTTGACCTTGGCTTTTATTAATTGTCATTGCAAAAGCCAAACGTACAGGTAATTGTCTCCTTTTCAAGTTGACTCGTAGATCAAGAGAGTTTAGAGCGATGTTGTCAACTCTGGAAATTAATTCGATCGAAGGTTCATTATTAGGGTCTTCTACTCGTTTTGCTTCTATAAAATTTTCGTGTAAATTATGAATCAATAAGCGTGTGCCGTTACATAAACCTCTCTTTAGATCTAAATTCTTCGAAATGATAACTGCACCAATCTTTAGTGTAAGAATGTGGGGAGAAAGTCTTGGAGCATCCAAAGAATTTAAAAAGTCTTGTGGACATGCGGAATCTAAATCATCAGCAGCATTTTCAGTTGTATCGTCTTCTCGGATAATACTATCAACACTATATTTGTCGTGATCTGCCTGGCAGTTTTTCTAAAACAACTGCATTGATATCCTTCACATGAATGTTTAACGGAGACAAAATCGCTTTTTGTAATAGTGTGGAATCGTGTTCAATTAAATTGCTACCGTAAATGCTTTCAGTAACATTTTCTACAATAATATGGTTAGGAACTTTGACTATAGTATCTCTGCCATTTTCTAAGTGACGTAAAATTTCGGAATTATTTCCTATGGTCATGAGCCAATCTTTGAATTCGTTTTGCTGTGGCAGTGCTCTAACGTTCGTAAGAAGATCGTACTTAACAAAGTGTTGCCATAGTTGGGAACATTTCACTGATGCAGAAATAGTTTCATTTTTGCCGGCCAATGGAACGATAGGTGCGCAATGCCTGAAATCGCCTAGAATTATAATAATCTTGCCGCCAAGTGGAATGTCATTGTTCATTATTTCTCTTATCTTCCTACCTATTTCATTAAATATACTTTTATGTACCATCGATATTTCATCAATGACAATAATTTTTGAATATCTAATATTATCAGCAATCGCACTCTGATTGCGAATCCTTGACGTTGAATTTTCTAGAAATGGAACCGGTAACATAAAAGCAGGATGAATCGTTTGGCCATTTTTCAGTAAGCTGGCTGGGATACCTGTATAACAGATAGCAATGTAACGGTGATTATTTCCTAGTAGGTAAGTCAGTAGTGTATTCAATAGAAATGTTTTTCCTGCACCTCCAATTCCCTTAATAAAGAAAAGACGATGTGAAACTCTTTCATTTTCGTTTACGGCTAAAAGTATATCGGTAAAAATACGTCGTTGCTCTTGGTTTAAAAGGGGAATGTTCCTATTAGCAATTTCTTGTTCTTCTGATTGATCATAATCGTATTCATCTTCGATTAGGTGTTCTACTGGTTCAGTGGGTAAGAGCAGTTGAAAGTCTCTGTTTGATTTGCCTAAAAATAAAAATGTAATAAGTAGTTGTAAAACATTTTATAATTATATTGAGTAATTACTTATCATAATATAGTTTTAATATACTAAGTGACATATAAATCCGAACACCCAGTTTAAATGGTTTTATTTTAATAAAAGTTGGTGAATGTATTTATCTTACTGTAAATAACAAGTGATCAGTTGGACATTCTGGTTTTTATACTGCTTTTTTTTAATTCACTAACGCTCTAAAAATGAATATTTCAGCCGCAGTAAAGAATCAACGTTGGCGGATTTTGGTTCTTGACATCCTTTACGATCGGTTACGATGCCTAGAGTACGCAGACCTGTACGATTTCGTCAACTTAGTGAGTTTGATAGGGGCCGTATAGTGGGACTTCGGGAAGCTGGACTTTCTTTTCGGGCAATTGCAGTTAGAGTGCAAAGAAGTGTAGACACTGTAGTTAGGTGTTGTCAGGCATGGCTTCGAGAACAACAGACCGTGAAGATCGCCGCCTAAGATAATTGGCCTTAAGGGACCGTTTCTCCACTACCAGGTCCATTGCAAATGAATGGTTTGCAGAACACGGAAGACCTATTGGCATGCGAAGTGT